TATGCAACTAATGAGGCAGTCGAAAGCTACCTCTGCTAATGAAAGTTGATAAAGGGTAAGCCTCATTGTCATCGTTACCGGTGCCGATTCGCCAAGATAGTACCTCTACAATGAATGAGGCAGTCAAAAGCTACCTCTTCTTATGAAAGTTGATGTAGGGAAAGCCTCATGGTCATCGTTACCGGTGCTAATCCGCCCAGGATAGTACCTCCACAATGAATCCGGTACAAGTAATACAGCGTAAATTTAGAAGCATAATGAGAACGTAATCATAACTACTGAAATCAAGTCAGTAGGTACAATTGTGGATTACGTGGGCACGGCTGCCAACTACCTCTTCTAATGAAAGTTGACATAGGGTAGGCCTCATTGTCATCGTTACCGGTGCAAATATGCCCAGGATAGCACCTCTAAAATGAATGTGATACAGGTAATAGAGCGTGCGCGTGAATTTAGAAGCATAATGAGAACGCAATCACAGCTACTGAAATCGAGCCATTCGGTACCATTGGGGAGTCTGTGGGCACGGCTACCAACTATCATCTTACCTGAAGGTGTCCACCGCGCGATACACAGCAAGGTGCAGAAGGCACGGCGACTTGCACGTGAAGTAGTTTATGGAAAAATTAGACTTGTCTGGCATCTGCCACACTTTCTCCTCCTCTCTTTCTGTGCCCGGTAGTAGGACCGCAGGTGAGGGAGGGCACAGGTGGCTGGCACGGCATCTACGCGTGCCGCCATACCCCTGGTCCACAACATACACTTGACGAGGATTTTAACCAACAACAACAGAACCACAACCGGTCAGAAAGATGAGAGTGACTGGGCAGCCATGCTCACGACCTGTATACCCAGGAGGAGCACAAGCGCATCTAGCGGCGGGGAGCCAAGTGCCATAGAACTGCCAGCACATACCAGGCTGTAAGCGCCCTGGCTTGCTAACCGTGGTATAGATGAAGCTCACATTCTTTGAGACCTAGAAGGTTGACATACAGCCCTGAATTTGATTGGGCCATCACCCACCGAACCCAGAGTAGCCAGTCAATCATCAACTAGAGACACTACCTATAGAATACACGCCCTCCTCACATACGTTGGAGAGCCGGAGGTTACAGTGCGAAGGAGCCGTGACAGCCTAGCTCTCAGTCCAACAATTTGTCACTCCACACGAACACACAACTGGACAAACTACTGGGCTGCGTTGAGGCGTCAGTCGGCAGCCTTGCAAGCCACGTGATAGTCTCTGACTCGGATAGCATGAGGTAGAGAAGCTGCATGGAGAAGGAGCCGAGAAGCAGACTTCCCACTTGCATGGGAGGTGGCAGTTGGGTGCTTTTTATATGTGATTGTGTTGTGTTTTGTGAATTTTAGTGGGGGAAGATGTGAAGGCGTGGTATAGGCGGTGGCTGTATACCGAGGGTTTTCGTGAATGCGCATGTGACCTAGTAGGCCGATGCTGTGAGTGAATGTGCGGACGCAGTGAGGGCGGTTCAGGCGGATGCGGCGAGTATATGTTGGTTCGCTCGTCTCTTGGCAATGGAATCGCATATTACTGACCAGGCCGATGGGTGAGATGAATGTGCAATCGCAATAAGGACAGGTATGAACGGAGTCCACGTCTCTGGAGGTGGAGATGCTGGCGGTGGTGACGGAGCTGGTAGCTATGACCGACATAGGGGTTATGACAGGGTAGGTGACTGCTCGAATTTAACATGTATCAGAAGGGCCACTTAGAAGACAGACCGGAGGACACACCTACCATTTGCGTAAGAGGTACCAATGATGTGAACCGGTCCTTTGGTTCTGGCAGCAGCGATCCGGTCGGCCTCATAAATTGCTGCTCCAGTCGGCACTTCCGCCTTCAAGACCGGCGGATCCAGGGCAGGAACATCCCACGTCTCCGGATCGATTTGTGTATTTTTGAGGAAAATTCGTTGTTTTTACCCTCCTTTCCGGTCAGCACTCGTAGGAACGTCGCCGTTTAATAGTTGTTTGGATAAACGTTCGTCATTCATCCTAGCGAGGTGGCCTCTCCAATGCACTTGCAGTTGCCTCTGCCTAATGTGGATGCTTAGGACTCCGGTTCGTTCCAGGACTTACGCGTCCGGCATCCTGCTCTGCTATCTCAGCCTTAGTATTCTCCGGAGGTGGCTGAGTGGGAAGGGGTTTAGCTTCCTGGCTTGGTCGACGTGGATGGTCTTTTTCTGCACCCCTAGATTGGCATCGTCGGGACTACGGTCCTGAAAATCCTGAGTGTGGTGTTTAGGTGAAGTTCTCGCTGATTCCACACTGAGGCCTGTAGCCAACCAACTGTCTGACAGACTTTGGAAACCCGAGTAGCCACCTCGTTAACATCCTTTCTGTTGTTTGTGACATGC